TTCGAAATCGTAATATCTATCCCCGATATCTGATCCCCAAAAAACCCCAGCTCTCATCGCACACATGTAAACTGATATACCCAATGGGGCAAAACCGGGAAAGGATAAGGAGGGGAATTCGTCTTACTTGACATATACTAAATGAATCCAACGAGAATATATGTTAGCGCACAAATAGATCTCCCATCATCATCAATGGATATTTCAACGATTTCCCCCCTCCTCTCCCAAAAAACCTAGCCCATTTCGCCAGCCGCGCGCGCACACAAAACCCACAGCACAAAACAACGCAGCAAAACTCATAATTGTCATCCCATAATACCCAATCCAACCCGCCAGGGAAAAGAGGAGAGAGTAACTCACGTCTGTGTCCGTGATCCGAAGGCATGATGGGCCACCGAAAATCTGTGAAAATCGAAGACGGAAAAGAAGAAGAAAGAGAACCTAAGACAGCACCGGCCGGAAAGCAGGTGCGTTGGGATTCCTTTTTTTTTTTGTTGTCTTCTTTTATTTGATTTTCTTTTCGCGAAGGGAGAAAAGAAAAGGGTGCACCGCTCCGGGATTTATCGTTCGTTGGTCGTCGTCGTTGTCGTTGTCGGGGAGAGTTGAGATATCGAGCACAAGTCGTTCTGTGGTGGTTTCCAAGGTTGGTGCGACTGGACCCCGAATCGGTGTTAGCGAGCCCTAACAGCCATCGCGCTTTACCTTTTTGGGATATGGGGATCGGATAGGGTCACGTGATGGAGAACTTAACAACCTTTGACTTGAGACATCCATTTGTTAGTTGACTCGATTCGTCACTTCTCGACGAGGCCCCAAACCCTGACTAACAACAATGTACACACGGTGAATGGCTGGCGGTGCGGAGAAGCTGAATGCCATCTGCAGCGGAGAATGCGGCTGTTGGTGCGCAGAGGTGTCGTGTGCCTCGCCTGCCGCCACCATTAGCGTTAGGCCGGCTTCATCAGTCACAATCTATCATGCTTGACCTTTGACGATCTACTATTCAGAGGACGCTTTTCTCTAATTCCTTCATTTATCTCTGCGATAATTACGACGAGCTTTATACATACATAGATCTTTGATAGTACTCGCTGCTCCATCTCCTGGGATACTCTACCATGGGTAAATGATGGAAGAGGAGCCATGGCCACCACATTTCCCGCTCTACCTATCGTTGATTTATCTCCTCTGAAATCCTCCCATGAGTTGGGAGCAGAGCAACAGAAGGACCTGGCAAGCCAGCTATACAATGTCTTCGCCACTACGGGATTTGCCTACCTAGTAAATCATCCCTTGAGTTTCGATCACCAAGTGCTTTTCGACATCAGTAGAGACTTCTTTGCTCTCCCAACGGAGGAGAAGATGAAGTTGGCCAAAAGGAGCTTTCGCAAGGAGCACAGGAATACATATCGAGGGAATCATTGCACCCATTTTTATCCCATCTTGTTTCCAGTTTCAAGTCAGTAGCGAGAAAAGTCATATATTAAATTATTTTGCTAGGTACTTTCCGATGCAACCGGATCTTGCCAGCGATAACCTAAAAGAGGGTTTTGAGATCGGGCCTCAAAAGTCCATTCCGCAGACACCGGCATCAAACAGTATATCCAACGCCACTCATTTGCCGAAAATCAATCTCTCAGAACCCAACGTCTGGCCCGCACCAGCTGTATTTCCCTCTCGTGCAAAACTCGAGCTGCTCCACAACGAACTGCAAGCCCTTGCATCAACCTTACTCTCCCTCCTCGCCATCTCGCTTGGTAAAGAGGCGGATTTCTTCTCATCATACCTAACAGACTCGCTTAGCACATTGCGGCTCCTTCACTACCCACCCACCTCCTCCACATCCACTCAATTCCAAGGCGGCGGAGAGTAACCAGGTTCTGATGCCGATGCCGATGTCCATCCCGATCCCCTGAAGCTCAGCTGCACCCCGCACACGGACAGCGGTATCCTTACCTTGCTTCATCAGGATGCGACAGGGGGTCTGGAGGTTCAAAACGCAGATGGGAAATGGGTTGCTGCGCCGTATGTTCCCAAATCCATCGTTGTGAACATCGTTGATTTGATGGCGAAAGTGTCTTGCGGGCGGTTCGTGGCTACCATGCACCGTGTACGCGCTCCTCCCGCGACCGCGCCTACATCTATAAGTGCATCTTCTGCAAATGCTGCCGCTGCGATGCAGCAGTCTGGCAGATTTAGCGTGCGGTTTTTCTTCGAGCCTGGCGAGAAATGTCTTATCAAGTCGGTCGATGATGAGCTTGGCGTTGACGCGGTTGTGTATGGGGAGCATGTGAGGGCTAAGATGAAGACGTGGGTTGAGTTTCAAGATCTTTGAGTTGAGGGGCCGGGGGGATGCAGCGTACGTTTTCATGAAACTGTACGGGTAACTAAAGGCCAATCCTGAGATGTAACTACCCTACCTTTCCATTTTCCGTATCTTAAGGCGAGATGTGTATTCCTTTCTTTTAAGATATCGATCAGAAACAGCTGTCTCTTTCTCATCAATGTAGTGGACAAGGGGAAGCAGCGGTGTCATACCTCTCCATCCGCTCATTGACCTGTCAAATCATCAGCGTTCACGGACCGAAGCTATTACATACCTGCACGTCAGTTGGATGGAAGATCCCTTGCTTCCCAGTTCTTTTTTATTCCTCTCTGTTAACCGCTTCCAAAACTCAGCCTTGCCGTCCTGGTGAAAGTGAAGAAGCAGGATGTCCTACGGGACTTCGATGTCCTTTTTCTAGGTACTTTTCTATCTCTCTAGAAAAAGTTATGCGGGTCTCCTCCTTTTTACCACCCTTGTCCAACACCACTTTCAGATATTCGTTCCGGCTCGACCTCTCTAAAGACTATTGGATGCTCACGGCAAGAGAAGAGATAAGAACCAGAAAATAAAAATGAAAGAAAGAAAGAAAGAAAAACAAGAAAGAAGAGTAATCATGCCCACACTCGGCATCGAACCGAGGATCTTATCATTACTAGTGATACGCTTTACTATTAAGCTACGCGGGGGTATCGTCATTATTCAGCAATAGAGTGCTGAACGCGCACAAGAGAGTGTACTTTAATGCTGAAGAATACCCACGCTACATGCATCGCATCTAATTTTTTGGCTATGAGTTATGACGGAAGTCCTGCGATCTAAAAAGTGCTGGTACCGTCAGACGTCAACCTGGGGCAGGGCGGGATATGTTGAAGTTAAATTAGAGTTGAAATTAAAGATATTTAAAGTACTTGGTCTGTGTGACATTCAGAATCAGTGGCAAAATACCCCTGAGCATGAAACCTGTCAATTATTATTGTATATTATTATGACTTGCAGGTTTTTGGAGTTCTCAATTGACTACCCACACTGCAGTGTACCTTAAATGTCATTTTATTGTTAAACATCCTGCTCAAGAGCACATTATATATTCTGAACAGAGATCTTCAAATGCTTTCTGATTCTATTTTGTGAATATCAGCTGCATCACACTCACTATTTCTCACAATTGTTGAAAAAGCTCTGCATAAGCAACAGTATCACAATTTATCAATGACACACTGTTCAGATCAAAATCACAATTACTTATTCTCATTACATTTCTTTTAGTTACATTGAAGAGTCTCATACCAGTGCCAGGAAATGTCATACTCATGATTGATTATGAGGGCAAACAACCTATCTATATTCCTTTGAAAATTGCGGCTCTACTCCCCCCAACTTCTGAGACTTTGATTAATGTCAGAAGCAGATCTCAATTGCTCTGATAAGCTCATGATGAATTTATCTGCAAATATCTTGAAGATCTTCAGGGGTTTGAGGTGCATTTAGAGATGCAACCGTGAATGTGGAAATGTTAAACCTCAGAGCTACTGATGTTGGTATTGAAAGATTTTCCACGCTTACAATGGTGAATGATTCCAGTCAGTAGTAGCTAGCTACTTGATGATAAGAAGGTTCATCTCCTCAGAGAGTCTTTGAAAAAGACAAGCTATGTGTTATTCTCTTCATGACATTACATTGCAAATCTTCTTCAAGTGAGAAACTCAAACCCCACCCCACTACACTACTATAACTACTACCAGCATGTAGCTGCCATCTTGACTCAAACGTCAGACTTTTGAAGAACTGTTGTAGTCTTGCAAATACATTGTATTACCTACTCAACCTACCAACCTTCCACATTCTCTGACGCATAGAGACTGCTACATGTTCAACCTCTGTCTCCAAGCACTCTCATCGCTTACCCCGCCCCGGGGGCCCCCGGGGCGGGGGGGCGGCGGCGGTGCTCTGTCATTTGTCACCGAAAACCGAACCGGAACCCGAATCCGAGAAAATATCTCCGAGAGGATATATGCATGCATGGTTATATATAGATGGTTTTTATTAACTAATTCTTCAGCAAAAAAATAAAAATAAAAATAAAAATAAAAATAAAAATAAAAATAAAAAAATAAAAATAAGTGAGGGAGTTTAGTTTGCATATCATACTCAAATAAAATCAGCAATTGCTAGCTCAGCTATTTAGTTACCTTGGTGAATACACACCTCTCACAAAAAAACCTTGAGACTAAGTTAGTAACTAGATTATATAAAACTATATTCTCACTCTCTTTGTAGGCCTTTCTAGTATACAATACAGATAGTGAAGCTCTGCAAACTGTAGCTGTTTTATTCTCTTTAAAAAAAAATAAAAAAATAAAAATAAAAAAATAAAAAACCTCTCAAAAACAAGTTTAAAAATAAAAGTCTTCGTAGAATGACATCATGTCAGAATGTACACAGAAAACTCTTTTTCTTTTCAAAATGTTTTTTATCATTTATTCTCTTTATTAATAAATATAGAAAACATTCACTTTGAGTTTGTTGATTGATAGAAGGTTAATTTATCTATATAGTGTTGAGTGTCAATGAACTCAATAATGTTACATGTATGTACTGTATCTGCATTTCATTAGCAAGTAATCATTTGAGAGCAGAATGAGATCAGTGGTATTCAGATAAACATAAACAGCTGAGGTTCATCCATGAGAATACTACATAAAAACCCCAATCAAATTATACTCTGTATAGCAGATATATACAAAATATACAATATATGATTTTGTATTGTTAAGTCAAAACTATGTCAAAACAAATCAAGAACAAAAACCAAAAACCTACATATCAAAAATAAATAGCAAAACAATCGGTCCCTCTTCTAAAAGCGGGCAATAGAAATGAAGGTAAGGAGGAAGCCAAAAACAAAATAAAACCGAATATGAAACAAAGATCAAACTACTAATACTACACAAGCACAGAAAATGTCAAGCCCATATCATTCCATATTTATACCAAACCAAAACACCTCAACACGACCGTGTCAAACCCAATTAGACAAGGACCACTAAGAAAAAAACATCACACCTTTTTTCCATATCCCATACACACATCACTCAACCTTCACCCTCTTCCCCACAGCAACACTAGCATGCGGAACGCCACCATGCCCCGCGCCACTAGCACTAATCCCCCCTTCGGGGCTCTTTCTCTTCTTCACCATTCCCCCTTCCTCCACAGCACCAACCCCTTCCTTCTCCCTGTCCTTCTCCTTCTCTTTCTCCTTCAAACCCGACTGCGAATGCAAATTCGGATGCGAATTCAACCCCGAACCTGAATTATTCGAACTCGAGAACCCAGGTCCATTCGTCACAATTGGAGTCGGGAAAGTCAGCGGGCTCGGTAGCACGTTGCTATCTGGTCCGGAGCGGCCGAAACCCCACTCTGGGTAGAAGCTGGAGGGGGAGGGGAGGAGTGTATCGGACACGAAGCGGCTAGGTAGAGCGGAGATGGGCGTGTCGATGTTGTTATTATGGTTGTTGTTGCTGTTTGAATAGCCGGCTGCGGCGTTGTTTTGGGAGGATGTTGCGACGGGTGGCGGTGGTGGGCGCGCGAAGGGATTTGGAGGGCCCTGGGCGCCGGCGCTTAGGAGGGTAGTAGCGGAGGGTGAGGGGGGCGGCAAGACGACGCCAGAATGCCCTGTGTCGGAACTGCCGCGGGCAGGGGTGGCGGCAGTGTTCCCTGTGGATTCTCGTGGTGACGATTCGGCAGTTGCGCTACCTGCATCAGAGTTCTCGCTGGGAATTTGGACCTTTAGCCGAGGCCGCTTTGCGCTAACTTGGAGGCTGTTTGAGCGCGAGATTGGGGTGACGTCGGGTATCGAGGAGAGTGAATGTGTGCGTTGAGGGTGGGCAGGAAGAGTCGCAGATCTTACGGGAGGGGGTGGAGGTGGAGGCAGGGCGGTATGGCTATTTGAATCGGTATTCTCCGGTTCAGGCTTTAATGGTGAGTCTGTTTTGGGGGAGTCTGATTGCGGGCCAAATCCAAAATGCTGCGCAAGTACCGAACCACGATCGTCAATTGGGGTGAAAATGCTTCGGGATTTGGATGGAAGAGGTTTAGGGGGCGGTGGTGTTTGGCTGGGTTCAGGTTTTACCGGTGGCTGTGGTTGAGGTGGCGATCGGGAATGGGATTGTGCTTGTCGTTCTGGGGGAGGGAATGTCGGTGGCACAGAGTGTCTCTTCTGTTGTTCCTGTATGTATGGAGGTGGTGGTTGGGCCATGGGTTGATGATGGGGTTGTGGAGTGTGGTGCCGTTGTGGAGTGTGGTGTCGTTGTGGTTGGGGTGGAGGTTGGTGTTGATGTTGTGCGGGCGGAGGAGGAGGGGGGTGATGTTGTTGTTGCGGGTGGTGAGGGTGATGTTGAGGAGGCTGTTGCGGAGGCGGTTGGGGAGGGTGCTGTGGAGGAATTTGATGTTGATGTTGAGGGGGATGATGTTGTGGCATAGGAGGAGGATAAGGATATTGACCTGGGCGTGGAGCTTGCTGGTGCATATTTGGATTTGCCTGGTGGTTGTACATAGAAGGGTTTGGTATATATGCAGCATAGCCGTTTTGAGGAGGCGGTGGAGTTGCATGGTGACGCTGTTGTGGGGGAACTAGCCCCGAACCTACTCGTTGAAGGTTGTTTCTCGAAGACGGCCGGGAGATGACAGGTTGTGGTGTTCCATGTCGAGGGTGGAAGACGCCATTCGGAATTGGTGGGGATGCAGATGGCTGATGATTAATATGTTGGAAGGTGGGTTGGCTCTGTATTTGCGGGGGGACCATGTTATTGTTCTGCGGTGGCATGATGTCCTCAACACCCGACACGTCCTCCTCTTCTTCCTCATCCAGGTTTTGTTTTCCAGCAAAATCAGCAGGCCCTTTATGCTCGTGTGGTTGGCCATACTATATAAGGTAATGAGTTAGTAAAAAGTAGTTGATAATATGCGCGGAGTGTTTTTTTTTTTTTTTTTTTTTTTTTTTTTTGTTTGTGGGATGGGGGGGGGGGGGGATTTATACATATTGATATCGTCCAAGCGTCTCATTAATATCCCCCGACGAGAACTCGTACAACTTTTTGTTGTGGCCAAAGATGATGACGGCAACGTCGACGGAACAGAGGACTGATAATTCGTGTGCTTTCTTGAAGAGTCCACCTTTGCGCTTAAGGAACGTTCTAATTATAACCCAAAAAACGCGTCGCACTATATTAGATACGTGTGGTTGAAAATAGAATTTGAGGGGAAAAAAAGAAAACGGAAAAAGTTCGACAGAAGCTCTCTCAAAAACTTACACAGAGCGGTTCCGATCATCTTTGATAGCCTTAATTTCGATTTTTCTTCGACCCATTGTCGCACACCCTTTTATATAATGCGCCTATACGAGGCAAACCGGGGGAGGATACGGGTAGTTCCCAGCCTGGTGATAGAATCTGTATTGCTATTCGGGACGAGGGAGCGTTTATACCGCCCAGATGGCAGTCGGGAGCCCAGAAAGCGCCAGTGCTGCGAAGATGCCAGTAACAGGAGCTACAGAGGGAACAGAGGGCTCAATGTTTGAAGGCAGAATATGTGCCTATTATGATGAATGTATCCGGGCGAGGGAGAATGGCGGGAGAGGCGCAAAAGAGAGCAAAAGCTGAAGAAGAACTGCGAAGAAAGGGGTGGGCTATAGATAGCTGTCGCTTATATGAAATGAGCAGGGACAAGGGAGATCAGCGACGGCAATGGAAGATATGAGAGCGCTGGCGCGGTGGAAGCGATTGAGAGAGGTGAGATTTAGGCGATGAGATGAGATGAGATGAGAGACGATCGGTCACAGATGACAGGTGACAGGACAGCAGCAAGCACTAGACCAGGTAGTCGTCGTCGTCGTAGTAGTAGTAGTAGTAGGAATGGCTGTATGGCTGTGGTGACGCTGGTGACGCTGGAAGCTGGTACAACGGAACAAAGACGAAGTTGAGCCGTTGGAGACCTTTCAACCAACGGGTGACAATGAGGATGACAATGAGGATGAGGACAGCGATGAGTATTGCGGACTCAAAGGTAACGCAGGGCGGACCAGAAGCTGGCGAAGGATGATGATGGCTGGAGGGAGTTTTGGGTGGTGATTTTGGGGGCGGTAGAAGGTGTAGATAGTGTCGATAGTCTCAGGATATTTGGGGGGGGGGTTTGGTTGTGTGTTTTGGTTTTGGTGGGCGTTATTGATCGGGGGGACACGGGAGTTCTAAAGATAGAGCAGGAGGAGGGAGCGGAACGGGGGGGGGGGGGGGGGGGGGGGATCCGTCACAGCATCCCTGAATGCTTTGTCCGGATGAGTTAGCGCGGTCATCGTGGCGGCTTCCCAACCGCTAACATCGCGGCCAGCAACAGGTGGGTGCTTAAAGGGATCTGTTTTGTTTTGTAAAAGAATAACGGGTAAATATCAGTTCATGGGGGGACAAGACTCCCATTTGTCATTGGGAGGAAAGGCAGAGGGGCCGTACCCATCGGTTCATTCCCTGACATTGGAAGCTGGCCTAGCAGGCAAAGGAATATGAAAATGACATTTCGATACGTAATGCGCTCTAGATGGAAGGGTTCATCTCTATCATAGAATGACACGCGTCGAAGCTCCGACAGCCGCCTCATGCGCAGCATATCCGGCGTGGTATCAGGCTCTATGAAGTTCTGGGGACATAGGATCATAGTGCCGGCTGATACATGTGATCGATGTATCTCGCTCATAAACGCTCTGCTGCCGGCCAGTGGATCTTGACTGCATTTCGCATATGAAGGCAGAAAAATAGGGACCGACCCACCACTTACAGCCTTACGGCTGTCCCAGTAGGTGCCCGGCGGGTAGTGAATATCTGATGGGCAAAGATCAGCCTTTGTCTCAGGAATAGTATAGACAACACAATTTTATGTAAAGGAAGAATATATAAATGGCAGACTCACCGCTATATTGAGGGGGGAAAGTTGTTGTAATGAAGTCATCGGAACAGTATATTTGTAGAGGTTCGTCCCCCATGATAATTTCTTGAAGCTTGTCCAGCCTTCCTGGAGAATTGTCAGACAAATCGCGTAAAAGGGGGGATATGATTCAAGTTACTTCATACATACTTCGTACATAGTCAAACCTGTAGCGCATTGCCAAATTCTGAAAAAAATATTCAGCGCCCGTATTTCCCACATAAACTGTTCCAAAGAGTGCCTCGTATGTGTATTGGGTGGACCGCTCAACGCCCGGAATTAGATCGTCGTGGCCGTACCAAGTGTCTAGAAGCGTATTAAGATCTCTCAATCTGTTCTGTGCGACCCTTACCTGCGCTGAATGTTAGATGTGTGTTTGCGATAATTTCCACATCAATCCATACCAATTGACTCATACTTCCTTGTTCAATTCGCCTGTAGAGAACGTTTTTTTGTCCAGGATATTCACAATTATTACTGCGTGTCCTATAAGAATAGGAGAAGCGCAGTTTATATAGGAAAATAACAAGTAAAAGCATGTGTTTAATTTGTATCATGCTTGAGAAAGTTCGAAGGACTCCGCTCCCACGAGAAGCAGATAGATATCTCCAAACTGGAACAGAAGGAAGGGAAACTGAGAGAGAGATATGTATGGAAGAGCGGGTTAAAGAAGTGAAAGAGTGAAATAGTTGATAACTATATATAAGTTCACTGACTGAGGACATGCTTTTTTACATTGTCGTAGTGGCCACACCATCCTCAGGTTCACGCCTCTAACTAGCAATCTTTTTATTCTAGTAGTCATTAGGCAGTTAACTATTCCACAGCGCATGGATCAAGGAAAGTCAGCATGAAATTGATCATGAATTCAGCTGCGATGCAAGACGTAGCTGGCAGGTTGTGCGGATGTTGGAATGCTGGATGTTGCCTTGCAGGAGGATTTGATAAATTGCAATGGCGTCCGTTCCTGTAATTAAATAATGAAGGTAACGACAAATACATCTACATGTACATTGTACATACATGAGATTGTAGGCGGTTTGGTGAGCTGCACAAATCGGGAGCATCAAGAAGTGAATATATATGACTTGGCGCCAAGGACTTCCGCCAAGGATCTCCGCCACCAGAAATCTCATGCGAGCGATTCTTTGTCAGAGTTCAAGCTATTCTCCTAATGTACATACATGTATGTACAAGTGCCAGTGAGCTGCAAGCAATCTGTTGTAGTTGGATCTCTTTTAATATGACGCCGCGATTCTGGTTTGTCCCGAATCCTGGGCCTTCTGATGCGTTGACTTTTCTGTGCATGCCTCAATGAGAAGCTTTGTATGAGTTTAATGACTCCTATATCGGATTTTGCACGGCTATGTTCCAGCGGATAACCCGAAGCAGGCATGGGATGCAAATATATGTATATATTATAGCCAGGGGTTCCGACTCTGCTTCAGCCATGTCGACTGCCGCTGATTGGGGTGAGATTCGCTGAGTTAGTTCAAACTACTCGCAGTTGTTAAGAAGTTCAGTGGCTCAACGTTGTTCCAGATCATGAAGTCCCTGAGCATCATCGCCGTTCTGGGGTTGGCAAGCCTTGCTCCTTTTCTCGCTTCGGCCGCTTCGGATGCTACCTGTTCAGAGTCTCGACCGTGCAAACAAGGCTGCTGTAGTAAATACGGGAGTTGCGGGTTCGGACCTGAATTTTGTTCCCCAAAGACATGTGTGTCGACGTGCGATGCTAAGTCGGAATGTGGCAGTAAGTTGCTGAGTCCCCCTGTGGCATAATTTTGAGATGGGCTACCTTTGAAACCAAGTTCGAGCTCATGCTCGGCTCGGATATTTTTATCGCATCTTGTCTTGAGGATTGAGTTGAGGCACACGGTTTGTTAACTTTTATAATTCTTCACAGAATACGCACCCAAGGGACAAGAAAAATGTCCTCTCAATGTTTGTTGCTCACGGTTTGGGTGAGATAGTTAAGATTCCATATGCTCCGATATTACTGAACACTGTCGCTAATAGCACGCCTGAAAGTTTCTGCGGTACCACTGAAAGTTTCTGCGGGAAGGGATGTCAGAATGGGTGCGGCGAAATAAAAAGGCCGTCAGTTATTCTCTATGGCAGTCAGCTATCCTACTTCATGTTGTAAATCAGTCTTACTAATTAAATCTACAGTTCATGCTCGGGAACCTCTACAAGGGCGCGATATATCGGCTATTTCGAGAGTTGGAACTATGATCGTATTTGTGATATGCTCCATCCGTCAAAAATCAATACCAAGCCTTGGACAGTGAGAAAATATTATTTCATTCTATCACGCTACTGTCTGCGGAAATGGACAACTGACTGCTTTTCGCAGCATCTTAATTATGGGTTTGCTCAGATCAACCAAGAGGACTACACGCTAACTACAATGCACTCCTATGACAAAGAATTCTACCACCTTTTTACAGACTTAAAAAAACAAAAGCCCTCTTTGAAATGCTTTATATCCATTGGGGGATGGGATGCCGGTAGCAAGATCTTTTCTGATATGGCGAAAAGCGAGGGTTCGCGAAAGGCGTTTATTGACTCGGTTATTGAGTTCATGGAGGAATACGGCTTCGATGGAGTTGATATCGACTGGGAATACCCAGTAGCTGATGATCGGGGTAAGGAAAACAAAAACCCTTTACTATCTACTAAATAGTTTAATACTTTTTGCACAGGTGGCTCAAAAGAAGATTTTAAAACATATGTCCAACTTCTAAAGGAGCTGAGGGCTGCTGCCGAGGACAAGTACGAGATAACCGTGGCACTTCCGGCTTCGTATTGTAAGTATCTGATCCTACTATATGTTAAAATCGCAACCCCGTCTAATAGTTTGAGGTAGGGTACTTGAGAGGATTTGATCTTAAACGCATGTCAAAATATGTCGACTGGTTTAATGTGATGACATATGACATCCACGGCACCTGGGATGGCAACAACAAATGGACGCAGGAAGTCATCAACCCTCATACAAATCTGACTGGTAAGCACCCCACCTAAATATGCAAGGTTATATGTACTGTAGCTAACAATCAGTAGAAATATCGTTAGGCCTAGATCTTTTATGGCGCAATTCTGTCCCTCCCGAAAAGGTTTCTCTGGGTCTTGCATTTTACGGCAGGTCATTCACACTAGCGGATCCTAGTTGCTCTACTCCGGGTTGCCCTTTTAAAAGGTTTGGTGACGAGACATCCGGGGGCGCTGTGCCAGGATTATGTACTCTGAACAGCGGTACGCTGTCAGACTATGAAATCGATAGGGTTCTGAAGGAGAAATCCCCAGACGTTTTCTATGACCAAGAATCTGGAGTCAATTGGATTACGTGGGATAATGATCAGTGGTATGGATCTACCGTACCTTTGCCCTCCCCGTTCACTCACACGCAGATCCCCTTGCTTTATAATCTATCCTATTCTGCTTCCTTCTCTACTTTCTGCCCTTGACGGCCCACTGGGCTAATTATGAGCCGTGTACAGGGTTTCATACGACGATGGCAGAACATTGAAGCAGAAGGCAGATTTCGGAAACAAGCTGTGCTTGGCGGGCACCTTCGCCTGGGCCATTGATCTTGGAGGCCCTGGCACACTGAAGAATCCTAATGATTTGACCGCCGACGATACTCTCCGCGGCGCCGACCCGCAGGGTGGAGATGGCGGTTCTGGCGAAGTCTATATCTCTCCAGAGATTTTCAAGAAAAAAGATCCGCGCATCGCATGTGTGCCCCCGTGTACCTTTATTATGCCTCCAATCTCTCTGACTAGTCCCTCTACAATCACCCTTCCTCTATATACAACATCTTTGGAAGTGGCATGGCCAACCACACAGTTGGCTACGCTTCCCGGAGGTTCGGTATTAACTTCCACTGGCCTAGCAAGGACAATCCAAACGACGACACTTACGATCCCTCCTATTACGACCTCAGAGATCAGCCTATGGAATTGGAAGGTTACCGATCCCGATGCCTCAAGTTCCAGATATACTCCCATAAGCAGCATCCTTCCCCCTCCGTTTGTTATTACGGAGAAACTTCCGGAAGGCTGGGTGCAGGGCAATCCTCCGAAACCAACGCCGGGCGATGGGAACCCTGGGGTGATAATCAGTAACGGGAGTGATTCGAAATCCGGATCTGATGATCACGATATCTCTGGGCACGATAGGCAGAGTAATCCCCCCGAGGCAACCGGCGGGACAGGACATTCGGCGCCAGAATCGGCTGCACCCGACCCCACCGGGGCTGGCAGAGGAATTAATTCGCTTGATGGTAAAAAGGGGAACCCGAATAGAGGGAAAAATTCTCAGCCGGCAACAGCAGATACAGGACGGCCAACACGTGGATTTGATGACAGCCGCCACGGCCGGACAACTAAAGGGCATGAAAATGACCATGTAATAACAGTTGTCAGCGGTGATTCGATACTTAATTCCCATTTTCCTGCTAGCACAACAAACTCACCTATGACTACCCGGACAATTACTCCGCCACCGTTTCCTTACACCACAGGTACCGAGGAGGACAACGACGATGATGACGATGACGACAACAAGATAATATTGCCCGTTGTTACCTTTACTAAAGGCCCCCCTGATCCACTCTGCACAGCAAATTGTGGAAAGAAGTGTGAAGGCCCATTTTGCGATGAACCCTGTGAGCACAACTGCGGCGATGGAGAAGACTTCTTTTCCGAGAATGAAAAGACAAAACCTAAAAATACTCAAAAGTGCAGAGGCCCAGACTGCAAGAATGGCAAGTGCACGGGCTTATTATGTATCAATTTCGGCTGCATCGGGCTTGATTGCCTCGACGGTATGTGCTGGGGTCCTAAGTGCGTCATCACTTGGTGCGGTGGGCTCAAGTGCATTCCAAAACTTGATGGCTGTAGTGGTGACGGATGTAAACCCAGTGGGTGTCTTGGGTTGCACTGCAACGGCAGAACAGGCCGATGCTTTGGTCCGAACTGTATTGGCTTTGGCTGTGATGGGCCCGATTGCGATAATGGGAGTTGCAAGGGTCCAAGATGCTGGCCCCTTACGTGCGAAGGAGAGGGCTGCCAGTCGGGATTCTGCACTGGATCGAAATGTGAGACAGGAAAGGGCGGTTGTGACGAAGCGAGAACCGCTCGTCGATGTACAGAACTTGTTTCCAAGATCCAGACAAGATCGGACAAAACTGAGTACTTTACCACCACCAACACCAGGTGCCACACGGTCACTGCATGCTCCGTCCAACCCACAACTATCACTACCACAACTACCATGGCAAAGCTTCCCGTATATACCGGCGTGGGGGTAACAATGACACCACCAGACACCAATGAACATTATATGGCCCTGGCACAATATCTTGTGTATAAAATACACAGCCGAGATGCCACCCGAATGTTCTATATTCCAGAGGTAGCCACACCAACAACTACCGCGAAACCAAAGAAATCTCCCCCCCCCGCAGAGTTAAAATGTTTTGGCTCGGGCAGCACTTCTCATCGCGCGGATATGATCCGTGCGATAGAAAGCTTTTGTAATGAAAACAAGGGTCGGATGATTAGAAAGGAAGACGGTAAAATTATAGACTACTATGGCTCAAGGTGTTTCGGTCCTGGGGCATGTTTTGTTGAGGTCAACATTTCCGTGGAGTTAATCAATGACTGTGACCCATTCGAACTCGATGGGGGAAGCCCAGGAGATTTGTGCGGTCACTCGTTCAGACAACCTGTTGACGAGTGTGATACCAGGGGGACAAGTTTCAAATACGGTGGTGTATTAACGACTGATTGCGCTCGCTGGATAATAGACCCTGGCTTTAACGCACCCGGAGGCCCAAAGGCTAAATATCCTCTGTTGAACGGCACTGGCATTGCAAATACCACTATGACAAACCACACTGCATCCTGGGCAAAATTCAATTCTAGTTCGGTTTATCCTGCCCCAACTAGACCGACGCGGCTATGAGTCGAGTCGATGTGAGCAAAAGGTTCAGCTAAATTGCTTGGACAATAGGGCTTTTGTGGTTTCAAAACAAGGTGAATAAATATCAAGTGCCTCTTATCTATTTTTATTTATTTAATTTCTATTTATTTTTTTTATTACTGTTCTTCTAAATGTAAGCCGTACAGGTAATGAAAATCATAATAAATAAATAAATAAATAAAAGTATGGTAGGGCAATTTCACCTCTTCAGTTGACATTCTCTCTTGCATCACTTACAGAATCATCAGTGAAATTGAAAGAGTGAACGTGAACCGGCGGGAGATACTAGTAACTAGGCAAGTTGTCACATTTATAGCAACCTCTCCTCTCTCAGAACAGGGCTTGATATCAACCACTGTTGCGTTTGACTCGACTGCTTTTGATATCAACCCTTGACAACGCTAATGTAGATATACTATAGCCAATTTCCTGAATCCTCAAACAATTGGCTTCTCAATCCATGTTCCATCTTGAACCTTCCTGGGCGACTTGGAAATTAGCCTCAATAGTTTGAGCAACTATTCTCCATGGGTTGTGGAATTCACTCTTGGATCGAGAACAGGCGCCAAAAGCATTGAGCCGAGGGTAGGTAGTCCCTGATAATAGGGTAAGAAGATTGGGAGCACAACCACAGAGCTTTTAGGCTTTTAAAATCATGAACTGCCTGTCTGGAGATAATGTACATACCAGACCAAGGCCTTGAGTTGTTGAAGGGATACATCTCAATTGTCTCCCATATCATATCATATACACCTAAGAAGGTAAATATTTGAAGTGGTATATTTGACCACTTCTTTCTTCGTCGTGAAAAGAACCAGCCACTAACATATTATTCTTGTAGATTGCAACATTGGCCAGAATTATCCATGCAAGAAGTGTGTGGAGCAAAATTTGGTGCATGTTTGTTCAGATTCACCAAGAATGTTCACATGCCATGTAAGATCAAGTTCAACACCTAGAGAATCTTTTCCATGACTGGAATCTAGCTGACCCATGATTTTGAAGTCCGAATATTGCTGTGCCTAACTCTGTGCAGCAAACAGAGCAGGTCTCGGATTCGTTTGAGTGATTAACCGTAGATGGCTCCGGGACCGGCTGTGTTGGGAGCTCGCACTCGCAAACGAATGTATACAATGATGTTTACCACTGATGGTGCTACTTTCTGATCCATCGCAGGTAATAAGGTTGACTCTGAGTTTCTCAGAGGAAATCGAGGAGGAAATCGTACAGTTCTTCCAAAATTATGATTAGGTTGTTTAGCCTTCACAGTTGAGAACCTCCGCGTATTTGGATAAAGTATGACTTATTCATGCAAAGACCCTCGTCTGTGGGGGTGATGTGGATTTAGATCTTGTTTGGAATGACATGTGTGAGCTTCTATTCTTCCGGCTATCTCCCAGCTGGAATTCATGAAAAAAACTAGAAAAAGTGAGGCTAGACAATATAGCTCTATCAGGCATGATGCAAGCATGAATACTATGAAAAGCACGGGAAGAAAGTACCGGTTATATTTGTTGTCCCTATTCACTTACTTTCAAAGCACAGCAGAAGAATATATATCTAGCTGACATGATGATGCGATCATTTTATCGAAGAACTCACTATTTGCATGGCCTTCAGAGCATATATCAGCTTTTCAATTTGTTTTATGAACTTTTGAATTTTCCCGCTACGCGCCTGTACATCGCTACCGTGGCCTTTGTTATCTCGATTCATACTCGAGGCATATCCGGAATAATGGGCGGTTAAAGTGACAAAAGGAATATACAAAACGCCATCCATTCTCCCTACAGTCTACGCCGTCATCACGCCTAACTACCTAGTCTCTCTTCAACAATTTTAAATGGTAAAGTCACTGTAGCTCTAGTGGCACTGAATTGCATGTATGTATATAACATGCTTCTTAGAACAACTGAAACTACTAGAGGGATAAAACAAATTAACAAATTAGATCTGCTTTTGAAAGAATGTTTCAGGAGGTAGTTCTATGTTCTTGACAAAACTGAGCTAGAAATGAAAAAAAAAAAAAAGGAAAAAAAATTTGAAATGAAAAAATGAAAAAGAAAAGAATTAATTAATTCTCAAGAAGCTTTAAAACAGCAAATTTACTGAATTGAACTAATAATTATTTAGAGAAGTAGAGAAGAGCGAGGAAGAGAATGTATATTTGAACAATATATGCCATCTCTTATCTCACATCACCCCTTTGAAACAATTTCAATCAGAATGGCAACCGCATCTGATCTGAACGACGTATGTACCCGCTCATTCTTCTCTAAATGACCAGATACACGGTACGCAGAACACCTGGCTTGTTATTGACATTCATATGATTTAAATAATGATTCCCCTTAGTAATAAATGAGAACAGACAAAGGAGAAAAAGGGAAAAAAAAAAAAAAACGTTGTATTCATGTGTCTCAAATGTGAGGCATGCATAAACCATGTGGAAAATTATAACTAATTATTTATAGATGAATAGATGAATAGCTGAGTTGAGTAAATAAGTGAGATTCTCTCTCTATACACATATTTTTTTCCCTCCTGTTTTGTAAAGAACTTTCTGTTAAGTTAGTTACTTGTGAACTATTTTCTTTTTTGATCAGATTGAATTAATTCTCATGATGCTAGCACAAGCTAGAATTGAGAAAGAAGGTGAAAATAGAAATAATATACAGAGTATATACTCCGCATATTGATAAGAAAAATTTTTTCTAAGCATAAAAAATTTCTGGTAAATTTTTCACTTCTTCATGCATATTATTATTAGCCTAATTATTACACAAACTTAACTCTCTAACTCAACCCCCTTTGAGTACGCAAGACCGCAGACGATTTTGCAAAACAGTATGCATTGCAGCTGCCGATGTGAAAGAAAACCCCTGATTTAATTAATCTGAGACACTCCTTTTCTGTCTTTTCGTTTCTGTTCTCTTTTCCCTCTTTCTAAAACATCAAGTTCTGTTCCCAGTCTAGTTTTGAATGCACTGCACTGTATTCATCCACTTTCCAAGGGAAAGCTACATCACTAGCTGGTGTAGATATAAATTTATTGAATCGAGAATGAAAAATTTCGTAACTAGCTAGCTAGGTAGGTTCGCTATTATTGCAACTCGAAGTTATATGAAACGGGGTACATACACAATCGGAGCGCTATTTAGGCACAGTATGTAGCCCATTCATCTCCCCTGGACCCGGGATTGTGGAATAGGAACTATCTTTCTGTAGTAGTTATCATGTAGTAGGTTTGCTTGTTTGCTGTGTGATTGTGATTGATATTTCTGCCTGATTTGATGCATCTCTAGCAAAGAAGTCAGGCATAACCATGAAAGGTAAAGAATTTTAGAGCGCGTTGTTTGGAGAGAGCAGGAGGGGCAGTGTGAAGTTTCTTTCTGAAAGTCTGGCATGATGAGGAGGTAGATTCTGGCAGCGTTGGCCTGAATGATGATACTACTCCTGAAGGCATGGCTTTGCCAAATGGTTCACTGGTTCAGAATACTCTTCTTTCCTTTGCAAATTATTTTTTCTCCCCTTTCTAGATATATGGATGTTCTTGTTTGCTTCATTTTGTTCAGGATCACACGCATCTTGGGAGAAATTGTCGGATGTGGCGCGCTGAGTATGGGCAATCCATGGCGTGGTGCACTCCTGTATACAGCGTGGGGAGCATCTGGTCGTTGAGAGCATGGAGCTGGTCGGTGTGAAAGTCAATTAATTGCATGAAAAGGCTGAAAAAAATAAATGAATAGGCAATGGAAAGGGAGTCGAAAGGGTGGCCAAAGATATGTATATATATAGAGCTATCTGTGATTTCAACAGAACCAGTGTACCATGCAAGGTCAAGTTGGCCAGTCACAACAACAACCGGTGGAGTCTCCTCTGGAGCCGATCCCCGTCATAGCCTGAGGCTTGTCGAAGGAGAGTTCGTTTGGTTTTTTTCGAGGCACGCCCACGCTACATTAAGACGACAGGCTGAGAAAATTTGCCATGACGCGCTGATCCCCTACTGGCTGCTGGCTCAATTGGGCGTACTTTAGTTGGTTATTTTCTTCTTCCGGCGGTTTTTGGGAATCGGTTTGGATTGTCTTCTTTTTCCTCGTTATTTTTGTTTTAATTTTTAAACTTTCGTTCGATCCAAGGAATACAAACATTAATTGATCGGTTCGTTAATGGGTACCGTATAATGTAAATATTTCTCGGAGGCGGCCCGAGAGGTTAAGATTTCGGGCCCGTACCATTGGGATACACCGAAGCGATGGAGGAGAAAGCTTCCTTGAGTCCCCCTAAAGATGAATCCGTCCGTCTTCGGGCATGCACCGGCAGGTAACGCCGTCCTGGCCGGAGCGTTTTCTACCCAGCTCTAGCCAAATTAATTTACGGGCGCCGTCGGCCTCTAGGCTTGACTGGTGAGTGTTCCGTATGCAGGGAGACTCCTCGGTTCCGGGAATATGGGAATGGAGGATCTGACCCTGGTGGTAGAGTTGGATTTGCATGCATACCCGGCCTCTGACTCCATCTTCTTGTTCCGTTTCTTGCCTAGGTGTAGGTTGGCCCTTGCAACCTGTGTGAGGATCGTACTGCTGAGCAGGGAGGTGGTGACACAGACATCTTTAAACAGTATTAATTGGATTCAGGGGTATGTAAAGGGCCCTGATCGCTGTCAACGGTTACAGATAGAGACATGTGGGAGGTAGGCTGAAAATGAATTTGAGGTGATGTGCCTGGATGGTTAGATATATACCCGGTAGGGATGTTAGTGATATAGACAAGCATTCCAAGCTTTATCTACATGCATATGTCTGGACATGACAAATTAGATCCTCATGACTTAGCACCCGGAGAGAGAAATCTCTGCTTTTAGCGCAACCCATGTGCAAGAAAATAAAAAGGGGGTAAAACTGGGGGTGGGGACAACATACTCTGTGTGGCGTACGGCGTTGAATAGAGAGGAGAGGCTGGCATTGTAGTAGATATTCAACCAATGGGATAACATACCTGAATCGTAGTAGATTTTGAGCAGCTGGAGGCATGATTCCCCAGAGTCCCCAGAGTTCCCAGAGTCCCCACCAGTCTCCCGGACCCGACCAGAGCTGCTCAACGCTCGCTCTCGACTCTCGAGTCCTGAGCAGACTTGATTTGGCTGTCAAGGCCGTTGAATGGCTGCCCGGGCGTGGTAGTAGAGGTAGCGGGCCGTGGCGGGAGAGCCCCTGAACCAAACACGCCGGGCAGACACACACGCGCCCGGGCCAAGCCCAGCCCAGCGCCGTCTTGTTTTTTTTTTCCACATCAACGTGTTTCCGCTGGCTGCGTTTTCTCTCTCTCTCCCACACTCACCCTCCATCTCTCTCTCTCTCTCCCTCTCTTTCTCTCTCTCTCTCTCCCTCTCTTCCCCATCCCTTGCTCTCCTTGTCTTCGTATCTCGCTTTTCCTTTCTCTCTCCTCTTCTCTCTTCTCCCGTGTGTCCCCCTAGCCAGAGTCGGTTGGTCTGTCTTCTGTCTTCGCTTTCGTTTCTTTCCATTCCGACTGGAAGTCCATCGGGAGCCGCATTCTTCTCGACCTTTTCACTGGGTGCTTCCACAGTCCCCTGAACACGCTCCTTACTTACTCCTCATTGATCCCTCTATCCCTCTTCTACTTCTCTGCATGCTGGTCACCTTTATTTTTGTTTTCTTTCCCCCTTCTTTTCTTCTTCCTATTCGCTGCATAGGCACTTAGAGACGAAAACTATTCCACCTGAAACGGCTGCTGTTGAGGCCATACAACCCACTGCATACCCACTTGTTCGCCTGCAATTTTTATTGTCAGCACATGACTACCTCAAGGTACCTATGGAGCAAGATAGCCTTCTTAACATGCTCTCTCTTCTCAATATTCTTATTCTTCTGTCGGTTGGTGACCGTGGCTGACCTATAGTGAGCCTCTCCTCAAAAGTTCAGTGCCTCATTAGTCAAGCTTTCTCTACGCCGTTGAGCCTACCCTACCCCTGAAACTCGCACCTCTCGCCATCTTTTTTTTTCCGCCTTTCGAACTTCTCTCACGACCTCTCCGACATATTTTCGTTACTTTTTGATCTTTCTTTTTTATTCCTTTCGCAGCCTCCCTACTTGTAGTTTACGCCTTCAAGACAGGCCTTTGGTCTTCAAACCATTGTTGCTTGATGAGACTCTAGGGAGCGTTGATCAACCCTGGTCGCAACACTTTTCAACCACAATCTACCTTGCTTGGTGGTACCTGTGGGAATCTAGGACCCCTGGGCTTCAAAGTCGCACAGAGCTTTCGTCCCTGCGATTTTACCTGACCTCGCAATACCAATCTACCGACCGAATACCTACCCATCTAGCATTGTCAACGGCTCCTGCGTAAGATGTCATTCTTTTCGCGGGTTTTCCGTAGCAGAGATGCGAGTGGCTCGAAGAAACAGGCAAAGCACAATGGCGTCAGTCAGGATATCCCTCAGAAGCCCCAATGGACCGATGCTTTCCTCCGTACGGAAGTAACCCCAGATGAGATCCAAGAGCTGCTACATGGATGCACGGTCGAATTGAAATCAAGAGGTCCGTATATACACATGCACAGTTCAATGAAGAATGCAATTTAAACTCGGTCAAAAATGCTCATCTACATTGCTTCCCAGGACTCGAAATTCCATTCCTCCTCCTCCCATTTCGCCCCAGCTCGGACCCAAGTTCAGCCCGAACCTTCATTCGACACTACTTCAGCCCTCCTCCTGAGCGGCCAGCTCCACTTCGTGGAGAACATTTACTCCAGGAGCTGCGGTTGACTGAACCTATGGTGCGTGATATTCCCTCAGAATGCACGTGGAGGAGAGAACTGATTTGATATCTTCGAATACCTCTAGGTGCTCTGCAGTATTATGAAATGGTGTTGGAGTCGATTGCCTGGAGGGGTGGTAACCTGGGAGGCATACGAATTGTTCAAAGTTGGCGAACAAGGTCATTCCTTTTCCGCCATCTACCCTTGAATTTGCCTACTATGGCACCGTCTCAGGGCTAGGTTAAACTGACTTATTTGTATAGACTCCCAATTTGCCCGCGACGCCTTTTCCACCTTTATCCCTTTAAGTGTTGAATCTGATGCTCGAACAAAAATTATATTCGACTTCTTCGACCTCATGTCTGCTGTTGCAGCTCACGGAAAAACTAACGGATTTGGAGGCCGCAAACTTTCGCGCTATGCTGGTTGGTGGGCTTTCGAGCACGTTGATACTGGCAATGGATTTGAATCAAGCTATAAGAACTGGGCAAGGTAATTGAAACAGATTGTACACGAGGCTCCTACTACTTTCGATGTATTTGGCTAACGGCTTCTTTTTTGCTTTCTGCATAGTGCGGCGGATGCGACAAGCCACTTATTCTTTGCTTACCTTCGTTCTCTATCTCCTGATTCCCTTCGCGGATCCAATGGCATTTCTGCCCTTCCGATCTCGTTGCAAAGCCTTGTTCAAGCCACAGAATACCCCCCAGAAACCCCCGCCCTGCTTCAGATGGAATCGACTAAGGTGGTAATGATCGTTGACACTGTCTCCCCGACACCATTTGCATTACTACGACGTGCCAAGAATTTCGAATATAGGGATAGCGATCACGCCCTACAGAAGTTCTCGAATTTCGAAGATCCTGTCAGAGCACTTACTGACGAGTGCCGTAGAGTTTTGCGATGCATATCCTCAACCAACCAATCCAATGTTATAGCAGCAGAAGAGGGCCCAGGCCCTATTCGTGATCCATCCTGGTCAAGATTTGAGGATCTGGGTTTCACCGACACTATCGAAGAGGGTGATGGTGACGAGGATGGAGATAGAACAGTGTCGAAACAAACCGGACCACTGGGTCTGAGGTCGGCTCCTCACTCTCGCACTGCTGATCTTGGTCGACCGACCACACCTTCCTGGGCTGATTTCCTTTCCTCTGGATTTGCTGACGAAAATGAGCCAAGAAGTCGTCCGCCTTTCCTCCTACCCCCCGACAAAGTCCTTCCCCCCATTCAAACCGTGCGCGGGCAAAGTTCCCAATCGCATAAACGTTTGTTCGACCAGGAATCATCCGCTGAACCGGGCGAACTTGCAAGCATAACCAATCTTGACTTGGATGCGTCGTTCTGGTGGGTCTGGATTAGCAGTCTGTCAGGGGAGGAACCAACTCAAAGAAAGGCAGTTTTTGGGCGGTGTGCTCTGATTGAAACATCCATCTCAGGAGGGAAGTGGTTTGTGCTTGAGGAACAAGTGAAGGGTGCTGCTCCTGAGCCAGAAGTTGGTGCATATATCGCTGAGAAAAAAAGCTTCTTCGGCTTCAGGTCACGAAAAGGACGGTTAACACGACGCAAATCTTCCGTAAAGAAGATATCCACTGCAGAAGAACCCTACCAACGGGCCAACAGCACAAGAGCAATGAGCAAGACGAGCATTGGCCCAGACCAGCACGCTAGGATCCAGGCTGCCGCTGCCGCTCTTCAGAGGAAGCACAGGGAACAGGAGCAGGAGCAAGCGTCAGAAAAACGCAACAGGTCGGAAGACTTGGGACATTCAAAGAACAACTCCGTGATGTCGCTGCAGCCGCTTGTTATGACTGAAGTCTCACAGGCGATGAAGTGGGCTAACAACTACGATAAAAATGCAGTGCGAGCGGCTTATCTTGGAAACAGTCTTGCTGGTACGGGTGCTCCTGCAGAGTCACTGCAATTGCCAGCAAATGGCCACGTCCAAGCTAGCTCTCTTAATTCGACCAGCCCTCGTCTTGATAATGAGCAAGCAGTTCCTCCAAAGGAAGAAGCGGCTGATCAGCGCCCCGCTGCCGAGCAATCTGATATTTCCAAAAACACTGCGTCAGACTTGCACCCCGTAGTTACTCCTGTAGCGGAGCCCACTGCCCCAGCTTCCGTCGGAAGGAAATCCCCAGAAATGACTCGCAGCAAGAAGTCCATGGATTCGACTGAGGAACCCAAGAAACTGAAGAAGAAGGCCGCAAATACGACGCTGAAGGGTATGTTTGGTAAGAAGGCTGAGAAGCCGGAGCAGCCTCCCATGAAACCAACTGGGGTAGAGACGTCTGCTGTAGCTGCCGCCAAAGCTGCCCTTGAAGGTCGAACCGCACAGGCTGCAAAGACTTCAACCTTCTCACCTACCAAGGCACCTGCTGCCCACCGCCTCTCTGGGCTTGGACGAAAGAAGACCGCGGAGTCAATCCCTGCGCAGACAATGTCCAATCCAGTTACCCCACCTGCAACTGAGGAGCCGAAACAGGCTCCACAACCCGTGGTGCAACCAGTGCCGGCCGCCACAGGTTACGATGGCCCACCGTGGACTCGCAGGGATAGTGAATTCGATGCGCTCTCTCGAGTGGACACCAACGAGAAGGCCCAAGCCGACCGGGAATTTTCCTCCTTCGACCACCAGGCCCCATTCGTTGACCAGCCTGCATTTGTTCCTGAGGATACACCAATCAGAAACGAGTTCCCAGAACGGGACATTCCTGCCCAACACCCAGCTGCCAAACAGGCCGGATCACCTATTAATGGTCACGGGCGCCAAGATAAATCAATCTCGGATGAACCCTTGCCCCTACAGGACCGCTGGGCACAAATCCGGAAAAATGCTGCCGAACGTGCTGTCCATGTCGATGACCACCCGTCGAGAAGCCATGAGCCGGAGAAGACTGATGATGGAGAAACAAGTGGGGAGGAGAGTAAGTTATCCCCAATGGCAAATTCCCCTCAGTCGAAGTAGAACTAATCATAATCTGTCCCTTTTTAGCAATCGAATCCCGAGTCGCACGCATTAAGGCTCGTGTTGCCGAATTGACAGGTAATATGGAATCTTAGGCAATTTGTCCTCAACGATGTTTCCACGGTTTTCATGCGTCTCGCGTATTTCCAACGTCAGAATACGACGAAGGTCTCCTTTCCGTAACTCCATTATTTTTTCCCCCTATTCTCGTTTTCTGTTTTTGTTGCTTTCTACAACTTCTATACCCTTTTTTTCTTTTCCTTCCCCCCCAAACTATGCCTCGTAAACTATTCCCTGAGTAATCACCTTGATATTTTTGACCGAATATTTTCTGAAATCATCCCCCTTCAACTCATACAAATCTTTCTTCCCTCAACTCGACTCTTTTTTCTACCAATATCCGTGCGAATTTGATTCCTACTCGAACGTGTTGAACTCTCTATCCAAGAACCTTTGGATTGTTCCTTTTGTCATAGGTACCCTTTCGATTTTTATTTTCTATTTTGATTTATCTCATTTTGAAGCTTACTACCACATACTCTCCTACAAGATTACCCAATTTAGTTCTCTCTTTCCTCTCAATTATAGCGTTTTGTTTTGCAGTTTGCTCTCGTGGCCTATCGATCTCATTTTGCTTTCCCTCTCCCTGCTTTCCTACCGCCAAATTTATACCATCCTGCTCTCTCCTTGATAACCCACTCTCTGTGAATTCGAGTCTAAAATCTGTTCAATATTCTTTTCAGTATTTTGACTCCTTGTTTTCCCTCTTCTCTTCCTTGAGATGTTATGTTCTATTTCTCAATTTATCTCAGCAAGTCAGGGAGGGGAACTAGGAGCGTTCGCGCCACTTGTAATTTGAATGGGTATAAACACCCGAAACGGGGCCGACAGACCCTATTTGTAGGGGTTGAGGGGTAGTGGGCAGGGAGCACCTTGTTTTGTTCTTTTTTAATCAATCAATGTACGCAAAACATAACAGAAATCAATATTTTTTGATGCTAAACCAAGATTACCTCCACAATTCCCCTAACAATAAACTACGGATATCTCTCTCCCTTTTTTGCGGAGAAAGGTTTATTTTTGTTGTTTCATATCTCGCAAAGAAGCTACATAGGCCCCGCAGCCAAAATTTGTTGATTTGTCTCAGCTAACTCTCAATCCGTATGTAGCTTTCTTTAAATAATAATATATATAATATATATAATATATATACAAATATAAATACCAGTCTTGTTTGCTACCGCTTCTACAGCTACTATCCCTAGAGTTCTCTTTTCATACTTGTCTCCACTTGACATATCTTATTTTGTTTTTTATGTTTTCATCTAATTAATTTTTTTGTTTCCCCCTATGTGGAACCTGTGTATGCTCCCTCATACTCTAATTTCTCGTCCCCCGGAGAACTCGAATCGGATACGGATAGTTAAACGGTTTGTTAGACTTGGGTAAAAACGATATACAAATTATGGACTTTCCCCCCCTTTTGTCACATTCCTTCCTGGCTTTCACGAGGAATTTTGCTAGAGGGAAACTTGCCATTTACAGCTCATGAGCTACAGAATGCTCACCCCGTTCCCCTTCTACTCCCGCCCTCATATAGTTATGGCTAATCGTAACAACTCAGCGAGCAAACAGCAAACCGACCTTCACTTCTTTCGTAACAACTTATTCTTCAATTTATCAACCACCTCCGCGACTGCATGTTTCTTCTTCAACTCTTCTTCCCTACCTTTCTTGCCGCTGCTCGCCTTGGATTCCTGGGTATGGACGTTTCCTTGGCCACCACGCTGTGCAGAGAACAATTCACAATAGAAGGAGAGATCAGGTTAGAGATTTTTGGTTCCAAGCAGTCTTTCAGTTTCTTCATAGTAACAGGGAAGGTGGGGAATATCATATAAACCTTACCCCAGTATGATAGTCACCATCTTGAGAGGGGAGGATTGCGAGCTCGGGAACGATATCGGTGTCATGTACATGTACTTCGCTTGAAACTGGACGGACACCCGGGGAACCAATGTTACCTGCTCCACCGCGCTTTATTGAAAGAGGGGATTAATTGGGCGACCAGAAAATGTTATATTGGGCAAGATGAAAAGCCGATACAAGGAAATTGGAAACACAAAGATGTAGAGAAAGCGGTACATACACCGGCAGAATAGGCTCCATCGCCCTGATCACCTTCCGGACCCTGTCGAGTGATCTCGGCATCCACATATCTGTTTTGGATGTTAGACAATGTGTGCTTTCCTAGTTTGCTGCAGAAACATCGCATTTGAAGAGGACCATACAATAAATATTGATTTACTTACTGGGTAGGATCTGGATTGATATTTCCTTGGCCTATTAATGCACCCGAATGTCAATTAATAATGTTTCAAATGACTCCCACAGTCAGTCCCAGGTGTCATACCTCCTCGGCCATGAGAAACAACTGGTGGTCCACTCATGTTTGTCGCGTCTAACTTCGTCGATTCAATCGATGCTTCTGTAGTTAGCGAGTCCTCTGTGCGTCTCCAAAACCTGTCTTGGCCCAAAAGTGAAATCGTGGTACGTAGGTATAATGCTGGCCTCCGAAACTAGAGAGAACTTCTGAGTAATGGGTAAGGGCGAAATGGTAATAGTTTATAGTGCTACTGCTACTCCTCCTAGTTATGACTCACTTGTGCGGGAGAAGGGCTACGAAATTAACCGTGGAGGTGAGCAGGGCTCTCCGAGAATCTTAGAGTAAAGTGGATTTTCAACAAGATAAAGCAAGGAGTTTCTATACAGAGTTTTCCTCCCAAGAACAGTCTATTGTTCTTATGATCAAGAAAATAGTGGTAGTGAAGGCTTTTTTTGAGGTGAGGTTAGAGTGAAACAAAGAACGGCACCGGGGGGGGGGGGGGGGGCGAATTGCAAACCCCAGTTTAATTTAGAATAACATAGAAGATGTGACAGTCAATGAAAGAACCGCGGTTGCGATAAGTGGTATTCGAAGGTAGCAGCTGCCATGGTAAGGCATCCATGTTATCAAATGAGCTAACGTCGCTTGTTCTCATCAGCTAGCAAAGATACATATGTACTCTAGTTATAACAATGGGGCAAAATGGCAAAGCTATCGTTGTGATAAGGTTCTCTCTCCCTCTTTTTTCTGATAACTAACAACCGAAGATAAGATAAGGACTCCTTCTCCCAGCCAACCAGAGCGCTCCAGACAATTACCTCAATTTTTGACATCCAACAATCAGACCTGGATATCGTCCATCCATGACGCGAGGACCAGTTAACCTTCTTGGAACATACAGTACAGTACATGTACATACCGGATCTAGAAATAGCCCGTGCTTGGTGAGATAGCCTTCATGGGCCAGTGCGGAGAGTGGAGCCTTGCTCCACTTGGCACAGAACATTAATTTTAAGCATAATTCAATCTCAGCCTTGGCATTGATCTTGAAGTTATTGCTTATAACAATATGAGAATCATTTCGCGCCTCTCCCACACCACGCTGGAAAGAGGAACAGTGGCAATTGATAGACGTTCCTTAATCGGGGCAACGCACAATCTAAAGATCGTCCTGAACATGGTGCTGATATAGGGGTTAGATTTAGTCGTATTGGGGCTTTCATAAATATTACTACGAGTGAGCTATATCGATTTCTGTTGTGTGTGCAAGGAGGTAGTTGCTACTGGATAGCAGAGAGTTTGTTGGTACCTCAAATTAATATTAGGAGAAAATATATCCCTTTTAAACTATTGTTTTCTTTTTTTTCTTTTTTTTCTTTTTTTTTTCTTTTTTTTTTGGAAAATCACAATTGGTGATCCCTGTTATCTTCCTCTTGTAATCCCTTATTGTCGGGAAATAAGAGGTCATACACTTATGAACGCCACCAACATCATATTACTTTTGTATGGAATTAGATATAATAGATAGTGTACGGATAATATAAGAAGCAGATCTTGATACACATAAGATTCATATGTTTCCGACATATTCATCCGAGATACCATTCCGACAGTTATAATCCCGGATCCCGACAGTTATGAGCCCGGTAAGCAGCATCTGAATAGAAGCGCGATACACCGACCCCAATCCTCATTCGAATAGATAACTATCATTCGAACTGAGACGATTGTACCCTCATTCGTATACGTTCCGAACTACTCGACCGTTATACACTGAATCCCGATAACTATCATTCGAACTGAGACGATTGATCCTCACTCGTATACGTTCCGAACTACTCGACCGTTATACACCAAATCCCGGCAAGCAGCATCTGAATAGAAGCGCAACACCGATCCCAATCCTCATTCAAATAGATAACTATCATTCGAACTGAGACGATTGTACCCTCATTCGTATACGTTCCGAACTACTCGACCGTTATACACTGAATCCCGATAACTATCATTTGAACTGAGACGATTGAACCTCACTCGTATACGTTTCGAAATACTCGACCGTTATACACCTCGAATTCCGATCATATCTATCATTCAAAATACTTGAACCGATTCCTCAATCCGTCCAATATAAACCGATATGACAGACAAGACAATGACTAGTGCAACTGTTCACCTTAGTGTTCCTGTAGATTGGAAACTTTGGTACAGGCATATGCTAGGATATGCAAAGGACAAGAAGGTATCAGACTTCATCAATCTCGATAAACCTGATATCTTCTCTGAACTAGAAGAACCTCTGGAACCTGAGTGTCCAGAAGAAGCCACCGCGGAGGCCAAGATAGCATATGACATCAAGGTCACTGTGTGGAAAATCAAATATATGAAATATGAGAAGATGAATGAAGGTATGACAAAGATACGAGATGTCATATGGAGAACAGTGGATGCCACGGAGTTACAACATGTACGCAGCAAGGATGATGATGTGAAAGAGATCGACTCTCCCCCACAACTGCGGACTATCAGGATGATGTGAGAACCCGATATCACGATCTCTGCAAAGCACCGAAAAATAGAGGTATAGAGAAGTGGTTAAACAACTGGTCTCTCATCGAGGATGATATCAAAGAGGCGGATATAGCTGGACAGTTCAATTTGAAGAAAGACTTCTTAAATGCGAATCTAGCTATTGATGCAGGTTATGCACAAGCTTGGGCTAAGGATGTCCGACGTGACAAAGATGTCATATCTTTGATAGAGTTAGTTAAGGACTTCAAGGAATGGTATAGGGAAATGGGTATTCTCAAAGGAGATAAACCTATGACCTTTGCTACCCTTAATGGAAGACCTCAGCAAAATACCTCATCATCAGCAACATTCCGAAACTGCATCTGCGGAGCCCGTCACCGATACGCCCAGTGCTACTATCTCAATCCCTCAAGGAAGCCACCTGGATGGGAGGAAAACAGGGAGAAAAGAGCTCAAATCGATCAAGCTCTTAAGAACCAAGAATTGAAGAGACGGGTTGATCGTGCGATATCTAGAGATTCATCCGCGAATACGGATATGATAGATGGAGCAGTCCTAGGAGGAATGGTTCTGAAGCAACCTACAGATATTAAGATATCAGATTCCGATCCCCAATCTATCAATCCTCAATCTATTGATCTGCAGATCCGAAAAATATCGATGAACTCTTCAAATTCTCGCTCCTACCTCCAAAACTCCTGGATCTTTGATACTGGCGCGGAGCAGCATATATGCAATAATCGAACACATTTCCTATCCTTTACCCCTGCGAACGAGAACGCGGAAGTCTATACAGGCGATTCCAGCACTAAAGTAGAAAGGTTATGGAACTGTTAGAACTATCATGATAAATGAAGCAGGAAAGCAGTTCAATGTCAACCTCATCAACACAGCTTATATCCCGAATTTCCATACAAATATCATCACATGGAAACCATGTTTCCATATAGGTGGCATCTATTATGATGGAAAAGACTTCAGATTGCAAAAACGCGCAGATAATACCATCTTTGCACACATTGAAGTATTTGGGGAGTTGCTAGTTACAGAATATAGTGAAATAGCTGCTTTTTCAACTCTATCGGAAAAATCCACCACCGAAGCCGCTGCAGCTACCACACCTCACACACTAAAAAATCAATATCTACGCAGTACAAATTCTTCAACTTCTACAAATCCTTCTTCTAACCTGCCAATACGCACAAAACATTCTCAAAAACCTAAGATCTCTATCACTACTCAGTCTAC